AGCCTGCTTCTGCTTCTCCCTCTCCCACTCCCCCTGCTTGTGTTCCCTCTCTCGCTGTGTCTCTCTCTGTCAAATAAATAAAATCTTTAAAAATAAATAAATAAATAAATAAATAAATAAATAAATTGGCATTCTGGTATAAATCTTGTATCAATGTATTTGTGAGCTTGAGTTAAAATCTGAGACCACATATATAAAAAAATCAGTATATGTGATCTTGGATAAAGAGATTCTGTTCCTGATAGTGACACTCACATGAAGGCAAGTTTGAATTTCTGGGAGGCTGACTTTGGTCAATGGGGAATTTACAAAGGTCAGTGCCACGTTGTGGGGAACTGAGAAGCCATCCTTCCACAGGTAACAGTCCTCTGCATCATTAACCATGTACCTTAATGTTTAAAATTGCATGCTGACCACCAACATCCTGTTTTTCAAAACTTATTTCTCTTGACCTCTAGGATACTACTCTATTATTCTCTCCTACTTCTCTGGCCATTCCTTCTTAATCTCCTTTGTTGAGTCTTTACCTTCTTCTTAATGGGAAGATTCTAACAATTCTGTCCTTGGATCCCCTTCTTTTTCAAGTTTTACACTCTCTAGATCACTTCCACCTCATAGCTTCAAGTGCCATCTATATATTCAGATCAGTGATCAATAGAAATTTCTATGATGATGGAAATATTCTGTATCTCTGCCATCCAATACAGTTGTCACTAGTCAGGAGCACCTGGGTGGCTCAGTCGTTGAGCCTCCAACTCTTGATCTCAGCTCACTCAGGTCTTGATCTCAGGGTCGTTGAGTTCAAGCCGTGTTGGGCTCCATGCTGGTCATGGAGCCTACATTAAAAACAAAAACAAAAACAAAAAACAAGTAACAGGAACACCTGGGTGGCTCAGGCGGTTAAAGTGACCAACTCTTTTTTTTTTTTTTAAAGATTTTATTTATTTACTTGAGAGAGAGCACGAGCAGGGTGAGGGGCGGAGGGGGAAGCCGACTTCCCGCTGAGCAGGGAGCCCAACACTGGGCTCTATGTTGGGCCTCAATCCCTGGACTCCATCCCGGGACTCTGGGATCATGACCTGAGCTGAAGGCAAACGCTTAATTGACTGAGCCACCCAGGTGCCCTAAAGTGTCTGATTCTTGATTTCTGCTCAGGTCAAGATGCCTGCTTGATTCTCTCTCTCCCTCTGCCCCTCCCCACCCTAAAAAATACAAAAAACAAAAAAGAATTGCCTCTAATTTGACTCTCAAGCTTTTGAGATGTGACTAGTGCAACTGAGAAACTGAATTTTAAATTTTATCTAATTTTAATTAAATTAGCCACAGGGATTAGAATCACTGAGAAACCCTATTAACAGAGATCCTCATTAGGTATGGGGCAAGGTTCAAGTATTTATGTTTAACCAAAGCTCCCCCTGGTGATTCTGATCCACACATGCACAAGATTTTTCAGGCTTGGAACTTGGTAGGTGTAAAAAAAAAGATCAGTGGTCTTTTAGAGGTGTAGGTGCCCTAGCTCAAGAGTTTGTAGGAGCAAAGGAGATAATGTCCCACCCCATCTATTCATCAAGCAGCTGAGAGAGGAAATCCACCTGCATCATTGCTGATATTGTGGCAAGTATCAAGAACAGAATTCATTTTTTCCCCTGGGGTGGCTTTTCGCATTGTATTGTCCACAGGGGAGGGGGCCTCCTCCATGTCACCGGAGGTGCTCACAGTTTCTTCAGCCATTCCAAACCGGAGAAGTGGGCATGTCGGGCATGTCCCCATCATCTCGGAGGGGCACTGGATAGTTGTAGGGTGTGGCCTGGTTGATCATGGTGGTGTATTTGGTGAAGGGGCTGAGGGTGGGCAGAATTGTAGTGTGGCCCCCAATGGTGAAGGACAAGATCAGCACTGGCTCCTTAGCCCAAGCATTCTTGAGGAAGGCTGAGTCTCCTGGCCATCTTGGTTGCAGGGGCAGCGGCACCAGCTCATTCTTTTAAAAGATTTTATTTTTAAGTAATCTCTAAACCCAATGTGGGGCTCAAACAACCCCAATATCAGGAGTTGCACACTCCACCAACTGAGCCAGCCAGGCACCCCAAGAACAGAATACATTTATGAAAGGAAGATATAGGAAGAGCCTGAAAGATCAACTCAGGAAACCAAGTGAGATATGGAATGCCCAAAACCCTGAATATAAATGGTGACTTTGTGAGCTAAGCCTAGGGAACAAACATTACCTGAATAAGGTCAGTTAACTGTAAAAGAGAGAGCAGTTTCAAAAACTTCAGTGTTGGAAATGGAACCTAGAAATTGGAGGATGCCACTTCTCTAGGGACTTAGCGAGATGAGATCTTTATATGAACTGAAAGTACAAACAGGAAAATTTTGAATGAGTTAAAAAGAATGATGAACAGTGGGGTCTGGAAGAGACTCCACAAACTTTAAACCCTTAAAATTTCTTAAAATGAGGTGCCTGGGTGGCTCAGTTGGTTGGGCATGTGACTCTTGATTTTGGTTCAGGTTGTGATCTTGGGGTCGTGGGATTGAGCCCCACATCGGGCTCTGCACTGCTCACTTGGGCGTGGAAGCTGCTTGAGATTCTCTCTCTCCCTCTCCCTCTACTCCTCCAACCCCCCAACCCGCTCTCTCTCAAAATTAAAATCTTTTGAAATATTTACCACAATGTGTTTCTAAAATTTCCCTGAACTTTATTTGCATGCTTCCTGACAGTATACTAAGTTGAATGGCCTCTGAGTGGCTTTAGGACATTTCTTCCTAAAGGCTTTTATTTTTTTTTTCCCCAAGTCTTTTTTTTTATCCCTAATGATTAATAGGCATTGCCTTTTATGTCTCACTTATCACACACAACTTATAAACTTTATTGCCAAGAATATTGATGAAAGTATATTTTATGCTAGACCGTAATTACTAGTGGAAAAAGAATGAAAAAAGAGGCAAAATTCCAGTGTAGTAGAGTGGAAAAGACTTAAGCTTTAACTCAGATTTGAATCCTGAGTCTTCTGACAGTGAGACCTTGGGCAAGCTCTTCAAGCTTCCTTTTCTTTCATTATAGAATAGATCCATCTCTCCACGGTATGGCTTTAAGTATTAAATAACATGCAAATTGTTTACACTGTGTGGCACATTCATGTTAGGCATTCATGTGTTCTCTTCCTCCTCCCAGGGTCCAAGTTTAAAACACATATCTCACCAACTATACTTCCACAATAAAAAATTTTAGAAAGGACATCTTTCTCATAATGATCCATGATGGAGTAGCATGGGCTGATTCCAATGCATATATAATTTTAGGAATTGAAAAAGAATTCCTACTGTGATGAAAAGCCGTCTTCCCATCTAGACTGACACTGTATTCCTAGGTCTTGTAGACCGTAGGGAGTGTCAAATACTGAAATTTCAACAGTGACCACCTCTGTAAAGTGATAGCTCAAAGGATGAACAGAGAAAGGGACTTTCATATTGACTTTACATCATTAAATAGTGTGAAAAAATCTGATAATGGACATGTATTGCATGAATCTTTTAAGTTTGAAAAAGAATCACTGCTTCATTCACAAAACTAATTAGCGAAGGGTCGGAATCCTTAGAATGAGGACTTGGAAGAGAAATGTTTTCCTTTCCTTCATTCTGGGAATGACGAAGACCTGG